GCAAAAAGTACAACATTAGAACTGTGCAAAATTTACCTGAATAAGTACAAATAATGGAACATCGAGTGGAACGCCTAACCCACTCCAAACATTAAAGGCCTATGTATTATCAATTTACACATATGTTGTTAAAAATATATTTTTTTAGATTTTAAAATGTTGGATATATTTAACTAAAGTTTAATAATTATAATATATGTACCCGTACCCGCACCGCTTGTCCCGTGTCAATTATTTTTATCCTGCATGATGCGTTTCTCCATCACGCACCACACATGAACCTCACCGCATCTATTATTCAGCTTGTCTTGGACCGCATCTCTTATCCACATTACAAGTTGGTAACATGAGCTATCCACAATTAATAGATAGTCTTATGTTTGTATTTCTGCAGGGACGACTGTCGTATGGCCACATATGTTGTCATGGGTAACGTTATGAGATAGCCATACTTACATGAGGCTGACTATATATACGGGGCAAAGGGATTGTCCAAACAACTTAATAAGCATGAGATTTTTCAATCGCTGGTTTTGCACTCTTCGTGTTTAGGTTTTTTCATAGGTTATAAAATAATTATAAAATTGAAAAATTCAATACAGTATGAGAAACAAAGTTTCAGGTTATAGAATTATGGATAATCCCACACCTTAGATGATAACATTATCCTCCTGACATCCCAAAATGGTTATCATATACTCCCATGTTCTATAGCAAACTCGGCCTCCATGAGAGTATGAAGCCACAATGGCCATTCACAAGCAACATACGATAAAATCATCGACTTAGGCTTGTAATTAAAAGAATACTACTCATCAACCATAGCTTCCTAAATGTTGAAGATCTAACTGTAAATGGACGCATATCTCCAATGCAACTGACCATCTATCCTCTTATTGCATGCATAGCAACACTATCTCCCAAACCACGATAAAGCATCAAGTCTTCACTTTTCTTACGGTAAAGGCGATGTGAAAACTGCGACTCTTGGACATCCTCAATAGAGGCATTGAACAAAGTAGATTTTGATCACAAACCATCTAGAACCAATTAACAACAAACGCATACAAACACGGTAAAAGATCGAAAATGGTGAGGAACCTTAAAG